ATAAATTTCAAATAATGGTCTTATTTTTAATTAACCTGTTGCAATTTTACAGCTGCATGTGCATATAAATGACACATGTCCGTCAATACATCACAGCTCATTCTTTAATTTTAAGATGGATATAGATCCCTGGTAAAACGAAACACGCAAAGAAATTATTTCCCAGAGATGAAATTGCTATTTCCATGTGACGTGTTCTGACGAACGGCCTTCGTTTGTTCAGTCAGTTTAGACCTTCACAAGTAAAACATTCTATGACACGTATTCTGGAACAAATCGCCACCCATTCCATCTGTATTCTATTAAAAAGAAAGTTCCATTCGGACAGCTTCTTCGTAAGAACGGCTAAATTGTGGGAAATGCTAACGTGTGGGTGCTTCCCCGATTATTGCACTATTAACCTCTTTCAAGTTATCTTTCCTACATAATCTTTTCTTCTCTTTCCAGTTCACAGACGAGTCAAACCCAGTGGCGTAGCTAGATTAAACGTCACCCGGGGCGGTCCGCTCAAATGTCACCCCAATGACCACGATTCACCCTATGCTGAATGGTTAGCTGTAGCTAAATTTTCATACATGCTCTACCTCTACTTTACTCTACTGACCGGTACGTTACTGTTTACATGTATGATCCAAGACAAAATCAATACCACAAAATAATCAGTTCAAATCAAAAGCTAAAAAACATTGCTATTTTTTTCTACTCACAAATTTCCCGACAATTTATTAGAAAATTTCTGACGGGGGGACAAAACTGGGGGGTCATAAATTATTTCTGGGGAGTCATATGCCCGCCTGCGAAACCCTGTGTCTCCATCACTGTTTTCAGACTATTTTTGGCACCTTAGCCTGGTTGAAAAATTTTGTTGGGGTGACATTCTGTCACCCCTCCTGTGCTGGCACCCGGAGCGGTCCGACCCCCTTAGTTACGCCACTGGTCAAACCAAAGCCGTTTTCATTTGTTTCTGCTACTTAAGCGTAGTACATCTACATTCTAGCTACCTCCAAAAAAACAGCTTAGCATGATGAAAAATAAGGTCGCAAACTTAAATATTAGGTTGTTGCATAATTATTAGGCGTTTGTGTAGGTGAGTTATTTGTTAATAAAAAAATGCTGTTTTGATTACTTTTTTGTTTTTTAATAAGGCTTTTATTTTCAGATTATAAAAATGAGCCGATAATCATACGCACCAGAATAATCATTTAAAAATGTTATTGTTGAATTCTTAGGTTTCTTTTTTCATAATAAATATTGTTTAAAAAACGCCTAATAATTATGCACCAACCCAATACAAATTTTTCGTCAAAATGTTCGTTAGAGAAAAAGCCAAAGTATTTTTTATTTTATTAATGTTTTTTTTTATCCTTTCTAGCACGCTCGGAATTTGAAGTTAAATATCTTTTTTTTGCGTTCCGTTAGCGGTCGACGTCAAATTTACGATTAGTGTTTTAGCGCCTTTTTTCCTGTGAAAAACACACTGATTTGTAAATTCTTGCAAAATTAAATAATTGTCGGAAAGCACCTCCAGACGGGTAAAAAGAATCTTTTTTGGACGTTTTTAGAGTACCTTTAGGATTCGATCCTCTCAAAACTTGCCATCTTTTTTTTGTGTGGGGTGAACAGTTCTAAGTTTGTCTTTTCTTCTATAGGCTTCCAGGGAATTGTATTTCTTTTCATTAAAATAATTTTGTAGAGACCGAAATAAGTGGTAACCCAAAGATGTAAGACCAGGTGAGTACGGTAGGTGTAGTAATGCATTCCAACCAAGTTGTACCAATTTCTGCACAGAGACGCGAGATCTGCTTTTATCCAGATGGAATACGACACCTCTCCAACAGAACAATTCCGGAGACTTTTCATCGATTGCTGTCTTTAATTAGCCCAATTGTGAATAGTATTCGTTTGAAGTCAACGTCCAATTTTGAAAATGGCGCTCGTAATACACAATGCTTCTTCCAGTGCTACCAGATACACACTATTACCTTTTTTGGATGCAGGCCGAATTTTGAAGTAGTAATTGGTGTTCTACTTTGTTTTCCACGGGATCATTTTCGCCTCACATTGCTGTAAACAACCCTGTGATGGTTTTTAAAATGGGTAGCTTCTCTTGCGTTTGAGCAGAGAATTGCAGATAGCAATGCGGTCTCATGAAATTTATTCCGATTAAATCGAGAGGAACTTTATTCACGTATCCAAGTGTTTTCAAATGTTTTACAACTGATCGGGAAGGCCAACTCAACATCGACAACTGAGCACCCCGAGACAATTCAGCACCAGAAAAAACATTAAAAATATTTTACAATGTCAAATTTATTAAAAAAAAAATAAATTACATTATGATTTACTTTATTAAAAATAATTAAAAAAAAATGTTCTGCTTAAAAAAGATTCCCTTACTTATTCACCAGTCTTCCTCAAGAAGCTACGTGACACTTACACTTTCCTCCTCATTTTCCCCCCTTTACCTCCTTTTTCTCGCATATACACGAAGAAATCACATTTCTTTTCATCTTAAACAACGACAAACAAGGAACTTTATCAGAAGAACCTTAACATTCAAACACGCTCAGAAAAAATTGTTGTAAAAACACGAAAATAAAAATATTTTATATTTAAAAAAATTCTCGTTTTTATTTTTGGCGGTAGTAATGGGGGTACATTCAAATCCGCAACAGATGAATACAACTGCTACTACAACTCCCGTTTTATTTCTCTGGAGTACTATATAAGTACTCCAGAGAAACAATGTTTGCGGGGCATAGAAACAGCAAGTATTGTCGCTCTGTTGGTCGAATGGAAAAATGGGAGCGTGAACTTATAAAATCATGCCACCTTGATTTCTAAGCCAGGGGCGATAATCCTACAAAGCTAGAATAACTGGGATTGAAGGAAGAACTGAAACAGTATCCAGCATAACTTAAATTACCAAGAATATTGAAGAATATACTGGAACACATGTAGAGGTTTGTGCTCTCATGATCCTCCTGAAGAGCGTGAACAATTGACTACAAAAGAATTATAGGAATAATGTCAGTATGAAAATAATTAAGAAATTAAGGTCTGTAACATTAATGGTAGAAATTTATATAAATAATCTTTGATGTAACATAAATAATTATAGATTATAAAATAAAAAAAAACTGACAATGATTATAAAATTGCTAGGAAATTATATTAGTTAATATAAATTGATGAAAATATTGCTATTAATATTAAATATGACGGTGATGACGATCGAATTCAACACTGATTGCAATAATAAGAAACAGAGGTAGAAAATCCCAGAAACCTCATTACGTGCAAGTTACCGTATCGTGCACATTTGGGTGTGATACATGTAATTGGTATACTGTTATATGACAGGATGTCATGAGAAGTATATTGTGCTTCGTACTCCAGCGCCATTTTGAAAGCGTCTTACTCAATAATAATTATAACAATAAGATCAGATCCAGTTATCATTGGAGGTGGGGGGGGGTCTAATGATCTGGAGGGAGCCTTTGTCGTGTCCATAAAGAAATACGTAAATAAAAAGTTAATTATACTGTCACTTTTTCGTGTCCATGAAATAAAAAAAAAAAAAATAAACTGTCAAAAATAATAAAATAATTATAGCAATTCTAATTATCATTAACTCACTCTTTCTGAACCAATGAGAGTCGACCACACTGTTCTCCTCTGCACACAGAAATACATGACATTCTCACTATCAGACAGACCGTCAACATGAACAGGTCATCAACACGTACGTCAACGAAAATTTCGGCTCCTTTTCCTTTTTCATGCCATAATAGTAATTTCTTTTATCTCTTGGAACTCAACAAAAATTCGAGATAAGAAAATCCCAGACACTTATTTTGTTTTCCCAACTAAATTATCTGGACACTCATTGCACACACATCTCTCTCATATATATCCATCAGTTTATATTGACTAATATGATTTCCAAAGATTAATAATATCAACGGAAATTTTATAATCATTGTCAGTTTATTTTTTATTTTATAATCTATAATTATTTATGTAAACTGTATACAGTTTACTTATTCTTTACCTTATCTTTCCGTTGGATTCCGATCTATATTTGATCAGTATTTGACCCCAAACACACATTTTTACTCAGTATATTTCCATCTTGTGTCTCCAACACCACACAACTTGATAATAAATAATACTCGTTTTGTTGTTTCCTCGTCCTTCATTTTTACGAGTATTTTTTTTTAGTCTTTCGGGTTTGTAATTATTTCCTCAGAGTTATAACTCCCCTCCGGGGTCTATAGCACCAAACTTATTTCATTGAGAAAATCAGAATAAAGTTTTGTATTACATCACTTGAAAAGTCTGCGTTGCAAATGTTCTCTGAAAGGTGCTATACGTTTGCGGTTATACGACTTGGAGAAAACCCAAGATGCAAGATCTCCGATTGAAAACTAAAAACAGTACGGAAGACGATAATAATAGTGAAGATTTTAGCTATAATATTAACAAAAACAATATTAATGGTTATATCAGGAATAGAATTGTTATGTCATAAAAAATGATAAAATTGATGTTAATAAAATCTGTAAAAATATACCAACGACAATAATAATAATATCGTTATAAAAAAAAAAAATTGAAAATGAAAAATATCCTAAGAGATTGACTTTTTCTTCATCTAATATTCCAGTTTTTGAAGGAATGATCCCCCAAATGTTTTTCCAAACGAACTATTATTTTCTATTCGTTCTTTTTTTTTTCTTTTTTTTTTTTTTAGACATTTTGATTTCAAGCACTCTTCGTGTTCAGAGTTACAAAATAAAATGAAACGCCAAGAACGGGAATTCCGAATTATGCACGCGTTTTTGATTACAATAAATAAATGTTTTCTTTAATTCACATTTTCCCCTTTTATTATTCTTTTTCAACTGAGTTAGACATTAAATTTTGATTTTAAGAGCCTTCAAAAATCATAACTGAATCAAAAATTAAAAATAAATTAAATACTGAAAGCCTGTTAC